TGTTTTTACATGTTATTTTTAATGAGATTTACTTTTTGTGTTCTATTTTATTTGTTGTAATTTTTGTAAAAACTTTTTTGAGTGCTCCTCACACTATTGTATTGATATATTTTGCTTTGGCTATATTGATACAATATTAGATAGCACTCCTTTTTGCTGATATAATCGCGTAAGCTGGTGATAAAGATTAGATCTTTTATTTTCCGGATTTTTATTAATTTTTACTATTCTTTCTCTTCCTTTTTTCGTAATTTTTTATTTCCCGGACTTTTTTTAAATTTTTTATTTTATCTTCTTTATGTTATGTTTCCCTTTTTTCTTTGTTCTTTAATTTTTCCATGTTTTCTCTACAGTTTGAACTTATTTTATGAGTTCTATTTACTTGCAGCTTATGCGCAGTAGATGAAGCTTATTATTTTTCTTACTTTTCTTCGTTTTTTTTTCTTCCTTTTTGTATATATTTATTATGCTATATATACNCTTTCAATATATATATATATATATATATTTGACATTTACATATTTGACATATATATATATGACATTTTGAGCAAGATTTAAAAGAAATTTAAAGTGTTTTTTTACACATTCTCATTTGACCCACCCCCGAATAAGTTGATTATTTTTAATTTTTGGCACCTTTCTATACTTCATTCAGCTGCTATTTTTTTCACATCTAACTGTTGAAATTTATATTCATTTTCATGGTGTCCCAAAAACGTCCGGTGAGTCAAAACTTATTTAAAGAAAAATGTCCAGGGACAATACAGCTTGCCGTGTGCTTCTTAGGAATTCAGAATTTTGTCGACTAAATTTACAAATTAGTTACATTTATCTTTATTTTGACAGATGAAAATAGTGAATAAAATTCTGCATTGTTTTACGTTTGTATCAACCCAATATCAAAGGAAATATTTGCATGACCACCTGTTGATTTTTTCTTAACACAAAATCATGAGAATTAGTTTTTATCTGAGTTAACACGTTGTTATTGGAAGTGATTATGTTTTTTTTTTTAAATATTTATAGTTTTTTTCAGTAAGAAGACCTACTTGTTGGCAAACGTTGTGATATGAGTAAAAATTATTGAGAAGAAATATCTCTTTTTCCAAACAGAAGGCAAACCGTATTTCCTCATCTCTTTCCTTTTATCTTCAAATATCCATCAGCAAGTGTGGATGGTAGAGGCTTTCAAATTCAGTGACCAACTGCACTTTTGCTATCGTTACTTCCCAACTAAACTGGTACCTTGCGATTTGAAACTGGATTAGTTTCAAGTCTCCACGTGGGATAGAACTCATTGTCAAATTAAAACCTCAACGATTGTATTCAATTTCGTTTTTCTTTAAATGATATTTAAAACCAACCGTCATTTTTGGGACACCAGACACTAAAGCTTTAAAAATTTTGTTGAGTTCTCTAAATTTGTTTGTAGGAAAAAAATGTGTATTTGGCAATTTTACTTCTATTTGACAGCGAACTATGGATGAATGGCAAATCCTGTTTTACATCACGGCTGCCTTCAGCCTGGTGGCTCTTCTGGTCTTTTTAATTTTCGGATCTAGTTCAGTTCAAGAATGGGATGATCCGCATTTTCTCGGAATAACAGATTCTGAAGATCATCGAGATCTGGCGGTCGAAGTCAGCGCAACTCCTGAAGGAAGAATAGATCTTAAACTGAAGTCACCATCAAAATAAAACGCTAAAATTATCAAGATATTTTCAGGCTGAAATCATGTAATACCATCTATCTAAATTTAAGAAGCTGAATGTGGATTATTAAAGATATTGTCAAGCGTAAGAGTATTTTTTTTAACATATGAGTGACTGAACCATAAAAATACTAAGTCTGTGACAGAACTGTGACAGCAAAACGAGAAATTAAATAAATAAATAAGATCTCAGTGACATTATAAAACCTTTAAGTACATAGTTTTTCTAGAATTTTACCACGTCTATTGAAATGTAGCATGGTCTAATATAATGCAATTGTGTAAGGTTTACTGATTTGACTACCATGTGCCTAGGATTAGGTTTTGAGAAAAACGTAATAGGTGTCAGATTAAGCAGAAGCAATTGCAATCATTTCAATTATTTCAACACCCGCTGTTAAGAATTGCAATTAATTCAACTGCTAGACTACTACCCTCTCCAAATGTGTATTATTGATCAGCAAGGAAGAATTTGAATTAAAGTAGAAAATATTTTAATTGTTTTTAATATCCCATGTGATTCGTATGATTTTTCTAAAGCTTTAATTAATTCTAAATAATTTCCTTTTATTATAATTGAGTGAGCCACCTATTGAAACGATTTGAAAACTTTTACTTTTTAAACATCAACACATTGCAGTTGAATCGCCACAACACTGACAACATATTTTTAAGGCTAATGTGCACATACTCACATTATGCCTTACTTAGAATTAGTTTGTCAAAATTATTAATTCATCAAACTATAAAGCGAATTATTTTTTCCACAACCTTTAAGAACTATTTTGTGAGTGTGTTGAAATTTACATTTTTGCAAATATTAAATGCTATTAATATAAACGCTATTATTATTATTATGATATTATTTATCTGCTGTCCCAGAAATGACTGATGATTTAAAAAATCATTTAAAGAGAAACCGAAAAATATGTAAATATATGAATTGCTAGAGATACTTGCGTTCTAGAGAAACTAAAATATTGATTGCAAAATTTTTAAAACGATATTCCAAAACCCGTTGTTATACTTTTTGCAATTAAAATTCTCAGAATAGGAAACAAGATTTATTTTATTACATGAACTAATATATAAGAAATTATTAATAATTTTGGAACTAAGACTTCAATTATGTAGCAACTATGTTTATTCATGCATATTTATTACTGCTGAGGATTATTTTAATTTTCACAAAAGGTAAAATGCCATGTTTCAGTAAAATCTGTTGTTCAATTTGCTGATACATAATATTTTATTAGTTTAAAAATGAATAATAAAACAAATACTGCTCATGAGCATTATGTCTTTAATTTGAAGAATGGAATTGAAACAAAAAATTCCATTTTCATCCTACAGCATTATATGGAAGCTTGGCGAATTTTGTTTTACATCTCTGCAGCCATTGCTATTGCGTCTCTGGCTATTTATATAATCTTCGGTGCGACCGAGACTCAGAAATGGAATGATCCATCTTTTCTGAATCAACTTGATCAAGACTCTTCAGAATCGTCTGAATCCAGTACTAATCAGCATAAAGACAGACCATGGAGGACTTCTTCCTTTGCAAATATCCCTAAGGAACGCGAACCACCTGTTGTCGTAGAATATTAGTTTTTCATTGTTGAGTCTAAAAAATATTAGCTTTTTGAGTCTCTGGATGGCCAATGTAATCAGGATATTAAATATAACGACTCATATCACATACTTCTTATATTATAAAATTTATTACTTTAGATGATATTTATAAGTATGAAGGATTCATATCGGGTTGAGTAAAAAGTTTTCCGCCAAAAAAAAAAATTCTGAAAAATGATAAACACATACAAAATCAGCAAAGCTAATGAGAATAGTTATCTCCATTCAAATCAACATTAGTCTGCCAACGTTTTGGCAACTTTTCATTCCCTTCTGCGAAGAACTGGGGGGTGCGCGAGTAGAGAAAGCAATCGACCTCATTTATGACCTCGTCATTTGAACGGATGATTGTGCCATCAAGATGCAGCTGCAGATTTGAAAACAGATAGTAATACGAAGGCGCCATGTCTGTGTTGTATGGTGGATGTTGCATCAAATCCCACTCTAACGTGTGGAGCGCCATGCCGGTCATTGCACTAACATGTGGCCAAGCGTTATCTTGATGAAAGAGAATCACCTTCCTTCTGAGCTCGTTTTCTCCTTTTTTTGCGAATCGCATCACTAACTTTGATTAGCATATTGCTGTATATTGTACTGTTGATAGCCTACCCGCTTTTAAGGTACTCCTTGTAGATAATTCCACGACAATCCCACCAGATACGGAGAAGGACCTTCTTGTTAGTTAGCGTTCGTCTTGCAACCGAACTTGCTGATTCCCCGGATGCTGACCACCCTCCTCCACGGCTAGTATTGTTGTAGTATACCCATTTTTCATCACAGGTCACAATTCTGTCCAGAACGTCCTCTTTTCTTTGATCTCTGAGCAGAACCGAACAGGCCGCTTTTCTCTTGCTCTTGTCTTCAGCAGTCAATTCGCGAGTCACTCAACGGTTAAACTTAACTGTTAGATTTATGCGTTTGAGAGTATTTGCTATTGTTTTTTGGCAAATGTGAAGCTCTAACGCAATAGTTCGTGCTGAAAATTTCTGTCTTGAACAATAATTTGCCTTAACTGGTCACAATCAATCTCAATAGGGCGGCCAGAACGTAGTTCATCTTCAATGTTGAAATTCCCAGTATTAAACTTTCAAAACCAAACTTTTACTGTATCCTCATAAGAAACAGTATTGAAACCTAAACGTTCACACATTTTCTTGTGGCATTCAGTTACACTTAGTTTATTTCGGAACTCATAGTACATAATGGGTCTGATCTGTTAACGTGATAGCTCCATTTTAAGAAATTTTTTGGTGCACAAGATGATAAAGTTTTGGCAAACAAATTACACAGTTGTGTAGTTCCAACTTTCTGCTTTAAAATACAAAAGCCCGTTTCAAAAAAAGTTAACCACCCCGGCAATGGCTGCTGCTAGCACGGAGGTATTTCCCTTTGGCGGAAAACTTCTTACTCAACCTGATATTATGTAAGATGAAAGAAAAGAGGATTAAAAAGAAAAGAGTTCAAATCATGCAAAAATATCCATGAAATACATATTAAAATATATCAACTTATATTAACTCTATATTAAGAGTATAAAAAGTCTGATTTTTCATTCTTATTTAACTATTTTTAAATTCATCAAATACATATATATTTCAAACTGAAGTTACAACAAAAGATTGAAAGCAAATATTTGAATTAGGCACTTAAAATACTTATTATTTTCAAAGCCTTATTCAGATAAAAAGAATTTAACAATAAATATGTAATACTTTCACTAAAAAAGCCTGTTTTTATGTAATAATTGTGGCTTGAGCAGATTTCTGTGTTTATCAAAATTAAATTTTGAAGCAGCGAAGACAGCAAGAGTTTTGGAACTCTGTTTAAAAACCAAATTAAACATTTACAATTTACAAAAAACGAAAAAACTCATTTTTTTAAGACTGAAATCAATATTCGTTTATTAGAGGAGTTAAACGCCATAGTGAAATCTCAAAATTTTCATTCAGATGGATATTCTTTTGATAAATTCAGATACATTTAGATCAGATAGGTATTATTTCTTTAGATTCAGATAGGTAGGTACTTTTTAAGTTTCAGGAATTTCAATTAGCTAAATACTCAATGCACAAAACACTGAATATTACACGTAAATCATGATAATTTCACCCGAAACATTTTCCTTAAAAAAGTAAGAATGAGGTTTATTATTATAAAGACAAAGGTCTTTCATCAAATGAAAGCATAATGAAAACAATCCAAAAAAGCAATGAAAATTAAAAAAAGGAATATTTTTGTATCAGATAACCTATCAAATTGAAACTAACTTACTGCTAACAAGAATTAGTAGATACGAAATAACAAGGTGCTCAATTATATACAATTTTAATATTTTTAGAACCCTTGTCAAAAATAAAGTTAAGAAAAAAGTTGCAACTTGTGGGTCACAAAAGCTTTGAAGTGAGAATTAAGCAAAACCACTATCAAAATGTAACGAATTATTGATGAGAACAGTTAGACTGGAAGTATCGAAACTAATTCAATCGTCAGATGGTACCTCTATTAATCGAATACCCTAGCTCTGCATAAACAAAAAAAAAACAGTTTTATATTTTTTCGAAAGAAAAATTGTGTGTTAATCAAATGTTAACCCAGCTCACACTGTAAAAAAATTGCGATAAAAAGCACCAGCACTCAGGGAGCCGGTACTTTTCCTGTAAAATCCATTTTTACCGGAACATATTACGAAGCCAAAAATCAGATATACCGTAATTTTTATAGTAATAATTACCGCAAAATCACTGAATAAATATTACTATAAAAATTACGGTATAATATTTTACGATAAAAATTGATTTTGTGGTAAAAATAGATTTTACGGATGATGCCCCCAAAGTTACTTGATACCGTAATCTGATCCCGAATTTTGTACAGTTTAGTCATAGTGTTCTATCTTTTACATTGTATCAAAGGTTTATTTAAAAAAAATTAATATTTTGGAATTAATTTTAAGTTTATGAGTTGTAAGATTATATTTGGGACCAAAATAATTTTCGGAATCTCAAAAAGTTGATGAATTTGGTAATGATACATTAAAAAAAAAAAATTCGAGCATTGTTTTCAAATTTAAAATTTAAAAAAAAAACATGCATATTTAGACACATTCTAGTTTTAACTTCACAATAAATTGCTATTTTTTATGTATATATTAAAAATAATGTAATTATCTATTTTACTTATGCATGTCAGCGTGTAACACTCACAACATTTCCATATGAAAATGCTTGATCGTGATCCGTTTTCAAGTCGTGAGCCCCTTTGATATGCAGATGAATTCCATCCTTCGATTCTATATCCTTCTCCAATAAACTTTTCAAATGCCGTGAGCAAACATTTCAGAACGTTCTAAAGGATTGTTCCATTCTTCGACAAGCCTCTCTCTGCATATTCATGAACGGTAGTTGAAGCATTCGAGTGGCTTAAGAGTTTTCTATTATCCATATTCTAAGCCCTTTAACGAAGGTGCGAAGTAACACATTATAAATCTTATACATATAAACGCCAGTAAAATACATGTTGATTTTAGAGACGGCTTGGGAACTATAATTTGGAGGCGCTCTTCTAGCATTAATGCAGTCTTAAGCGATGGTCCTTCTGTTTCCCCTTTGTGTCAATTAAGCTTAAGCAGCAATTGATACATGCGTGGCATGAAAATTGTTTTGGAGATTACTCGATTCTAATATGCTTCAAAAAGATTTAGCACGCCCAAGTTGCATGATCAAGTATAGAAATGTGGGCCAAAGCTATACATTATTCAATATCATTTTAGTTTTAAAAAAAAGAGCCACTAGGAATTTATTTCAACTTGCAAATAATGCATCATAGTATTTAAGAGTTAATGTCCAAATGTTTTTGCCATAAATTGTAAAGTAAGCGTAAGTGATTCACCATTGTTCTAAGGATTGTTTATTTACAAATGAATGGCGTACAAAGACGGTTTAAGTACGAAAAGATACATATACATAAAAAGAATCTTTCCTATAGGCAGGTACTGAACTTCTAGTCATTCACCTCGGAAGGTGCCAAAGTGTTGCTCATTTAACGTTACCCGGTGGGCACCTGCGAAACTAAGTCCCACTGCCACAGGTAACCGTTCATAGGTTTAGGTAAACCAAAAAAGAATAGTTTAACTTAAAAAAATAGAAATTAAAAAAAAACATGTTTTTTCAGCTATTTTCACAATGCGACGGGGTGCCCCGCCCAGTTACGAAAATTATGTTTTTTGACTGTTTTTTCAGGTGTAAATGAAAATGACCAATGTATTGACAATAGATAAACCTCATTTATCATTTTTATCACAAAATTATTTTATTTATTACATATTTATATACTTTTAGTGAATTCTATCATTTAATAACAACAATATTTGTTGTTAAAAATGCATATAACATTCAAATTTGAAGCAATAAAATAATAATCTTTGCAACCATACATTTATCGACGAAATAAAATTGGGCGGTGATACCCGACATACATGTACCCGAAATCCAATTTTTTTGTAAATTTGTAATTACTCGAACAATTTTTCACAT